CCAGTCCAATTTTCACTTTTACAGGCTCCACTTTTTCCTCCATTCCGAGCTCTATATAATCTGCAGTACCACGCCAATATAATATTTCAAAACCTTTTATAAATCTTCCAACGAAGCCATCGGCGAGGATAAAAAGAAGATGAATTCAGAATTAAACTGTTGAAAATCTTTAAACAAAGCGGAAGTTCCTTTAAGCAAAACCATTTTTCAAGCTTCTTTAATCCAAACCTCGGAGAAAAAAAAAGAGGAGGAAAAAATCCAAAATCCAAATCCGAAATTCTCTCCATTAAAAGAAGTTTCTCAGCCATTTTTCAAACTTCTTTAATCCAAGCCTCAGAGAAAAAAAAGAGGGGGGGAAGAATCCAAAATCCAAATCCAAAATTCTCTCCATTAAAAGAAAAGAAAAAATAATCACCAAAACTTTCCATAAACCCCCCAAAAATATGTCAAAGTTACAACTTTAAGCCAAGGGGTAACAATTTCCCTTTCATTCAGCGCTGCAGGAAAGTGAAAGTTAAAAAGAAAAGTCAGTCTCATCTATAAAAAAACGGCAAACCGCAGCCATTTTTTTTTTCCTCATTTCAGCTTAACTTTAAAGAAGATGTTAATAAATTGAGTTAAAGTCTTAAGTTACTCAAGTCCAGTTTCCCCTGGTCAGTTCCATCTGGTTATTGTTTACACACAGTTCTCTATAATTCACAGAAGTGGAGGCAACGACTGGCTTTGTTCCCAAAAAAAAGGGAACAAAGGCACTTGGGAGACAGATATTTCCCGGACTCCGGAGGAGTACCCAATTTCGCTCTCCCGAGATAAAGGGAGAGCTTTTGGGACTCTACTCCTATCCAGGAGTACTCACCTCGACCCCTTCTCCCGGGGCACAAGGTTCCAAGCCGCTGAACAGCTGCTGACCGCTGTTCATGCTGGCTCTGACGCCTTCCCAAGAGGACAGCTCCGAAAAGAGCTGCCATCGGCGCGCCGTCCCACCGGAAGCCCACATTTCTGCAAATTTGAATGCACATTCAAAAAGACAAAAACAGTGAATATGGCAATTACAGAAGGTTAGATACCTTGTTAGAGAATTTAATTTCTCTGTTGGTAAAAATAAATCAGAAGCTCTCACAGTTGACTGCATTTAGCTGATTCAAATAAACTCTTTATATTCATATAAAAATATTTACAATACCATATATTCTTCTTCATAGCAACATAGCATAAATGAAGACTTCTTACAGCAGAGACAGACCTGAGACCTGAGACTGAAACCCAGC